TGAGTTTATAACTCCTTTTAAAAGGCTTGGCACTATCATTTTCATGGCTCCGTTGACTACTATGAAACTACACTAAAGTCTAAACTATCACAATACTCCTCCATAACAATTTTGTTACTGCAGTAACTTGACTCTCAGTCTGACTAATGCACTATATTACAAATGGTATGCCTACATTTGGAGAAGGAAATCATTATGACTGTGCAAGTAAGATGAGTTTTCATGTTTAACATAGAACTGTATATTTGCCAGAATTTAAAAAGGTGACCTCCATTTATTATCAAGAGAAAGTACATAGAAAATCACTGGTATGTCAGATATGACTGCTTTTTTTGTTTGTTTGTTTGTTTGTTTGTCTTTCAAGATAGGGTTTCTCTGTGTAGCTTTGGAGCCTGTCCAGTATTTGCTTTGTAGCCCAGGCTACCTCAAACATGACTGTTTTTTAATGAGAAAAAGCTAATGCTAGGACTGGGGAGATGGGTCAGTACAGAAAGAAGTTGCTGGACAAGCATGAGGACCAAAGTTCAGATCCCCAGCACTCATGTAAAATCCTGGTATGGCCACATGTGCCTATAACTTGGAGAGACAGGCAGATCTCAAGAGCCAACTTGGCCAAAATGGTGAGACCCTGTTCTCAGAGACGGGGTGAGGACTCAGAGGTTAAGAGAACTGGCTGCCCTACCTAACAACCCAGGTTCAATTCCCAGCACCCACATAGTAGGCCACAAACTATCTATAACTCCAGATCTACGGGATCTGATGTCCTCTTCTGGCCTCTGTGGGCACTAGAGATGCAAGTGGTACACAGACATATATGCAGGCAAAACACCCACACACATAAAATAAAAGAGAGCCTGTTCTCAAGGGATTACGATGGAGAGCGACAGAGCAGGACACCCACCATTTCCCTCTGGCTGCACACACATGAATACACCATAGACAGACAGACAGACAGACAGACAGACAGACAGACAGACAGACAGACAGACAGACAGACTCACTCTCTCTCTCCCAAACCAAAGGTCATCAGCTGTTTAGGTGACTTAGTGTGTGTCCTTCTGATTGACTCAGATCACTAATCTTATACTTTGTTTTGTTTTTATCTTTTGAGACAACATCTCACTGCATAGCCTTGGCTAGCCTGGAACTCAACTGAGATCCATCTTCCTGCCTCTGCCTCCCAAGTATACCTTCACCTTATACTTCCTGCTTTCTCTTCCCTTCTCACCTTCAATGCTTAGCTATAGTACTGGAAGGTTTGACTATAATGTAACAGGAATAGAGACACTGGTCTCTGGCTTAGGAACTCTGGGCAGAATGAGGGTAGTCTAAGTCTTCAAATGAAGACCCTGGTTACTGCCAACACAAGCCCTGTGAACCAATAAACTCTAGTCATTAAGAGGTTAAAACCAGCTGGGCAGTGGTGGTGTATGCCTTTAATTCCAGCACTCAGGAGGCAGAAGCAGGCAGAAGTCCAAGGTCAGCCTAGCTTGAACAGATCCAAGCCTCACTCCTTTCTCCCAAGCCACCCTGCTTCTTCCTCCACATGATGACATGTGATAGTGTCTGCTGCTGGACTACCAATTCTAATACACATTTATCTGCAGATTTTGTTCAAATAGCAATTGCCGATATAGAGATTCTTTCTGTAGCCTGGATGCCATTTTATCTAAAATGCCTTTAATACAACTTCATCATGAACAGAGAAACAGCTTGGAAATACCTCCCACGACAGCATTGAGGCTGCACTGAAGCACCCTATGGCAGTGTGGGAAGGCTCGCAATTGTAAGGCGTGCATATGCCAGCACGGTCATTAACACCGCCTGAGCCTCAGAGCGCACGCCCCTGTGCCAGAGGCAGACAGGGCCCGTTCTTATGGATGAAAGCTAACAATCACTGATTCAGAGTGCAGAGCGGGCTTCTCAGTAACTCTCAGGGGGCTGTCACTCTGCACTAGCACACTCTGGGATCAGTACTTTCACGGCGGAAGTGGGCAATTTTCAAGATTTACAGGAAAACAAGCTCAGTGGGTATTTTCTCCCCCACAGATTTCTAAAAAGAGTCACAAAGCTTTAAAAACTAAGTATATATTATGGAAGGTATTTCACACCATGGAGTACTTCACTCTTTGGTGACAACTTTATTACATGTTGTTTCTGAGCCAGTGTTCTTTCTCTTGGGTTACTTTCTTTTAAAAATGTTCAAAACTCTGTAAGCTCATGGGAAAGGTCTGAACAGATAAACATCACAGACCATGCCTCAAAGCAGCCATCTGCATGATAGGACCCCAATGACCTGGCTGGAGGGGAGGGAGTCATCACGTGCCCTGTGGACCTTCATTTTACCCTCCTGAAAGTTTAAGCTGAGTGTGGTATCAAACACCTGTAATACATACTTGGGAATGAGAAGGGAGGGGCAGGAGAACAGCAATCCTTGTCTCTAAAAGGGAAAATTATTTTAGGTATACTAGAAAACCAAGACCCCTTAGACCTTACCTTTAGGTGTTCTCTGATATTGATCTGATAGATAACCCTAGAAAATGGTACTTTCTGGCTATTAAGACCAATTTCCTGCGTGTCACTTTTTGTATATGAAATACAATATTCTCAAATATACCAGCCCTCAAGTATCAATCAACTTGCAGCAACAATGTCTCACAGTCTCTATAAATTTGAAATGGCCCGATACACTCCCTTCATTTTCCCCACCAGATTCGGTATTCCTGGTCTGCTAGACAATCAGGCACTGTACTCAACCGTTCAAAGAAGGCTTTTCAAGGCCTGGAAGTCAGCTCATTTGTTCCAAGCCAAAGTTGGAACAGGAGAACACCATGTAGTTTAGGACATAGAAAGGGTGTGTGTCTGGTGTACGGTCTATTTTTAGGAGTTATACTGAGAAACTTCCTTTTTGGATATATGTAGGAAAATAAAACTAATAGCAGGGTTACTGTATGACTTATTTCATTCTTAAAATAGCTCTGTCCAACATGAACAGACCAATGTCCTCCCAGGAGCCTGCAGTCATTTTAACCCTTGCTATCTGATATCAAAGGCTTATTTATTTACTACATTCATAAACTATCTCCAAAGGGGTTCCTGAAAGACTGGATATTGTCAACAAATACACTCTTTTTCCCCATTTTGAAAGTCTCTCTCACTCTATAGTTCAGAGCAGCCTTGAATACACAGCAATTCTCCTGCTTCTGCCTCCCAAAGAGCCACCCATCCAGCTAACAAATATACTTTAAAATCTTCACATTTCAAAAACTGTTCCAAAGAAGTAAAAAGAAAATGAGGCGGCACTGACAGAGCCCCCATGGGTGCTAACTGGGAACAGCTAGCTCCATGGCAACTCTCAGGGTAAACAACCATCAGTTCTGCCACCCGCCAAAGGCAGCCAGACAACAGTGTTCCCTAGACACTATTGAAATGCTTAAAAAGTAATTAGTCAACAAGGCTGCCACATTTATGTATCTATGTCAAGAGCACTATGTGGGTCTATGGGGGTGGTTCAGTGTTAACCTAGCACATACGAGGCCCTGGGTTCAATACAGACTATCAAAAAAATGAATAATTTTTCACTGCTGGATCCTAGATTTCCCATTGGTACAATTTGCTTTTGCTTCTAATTTTGGTGTGCATGTGTATGTTGCCTACATGTGTATCTGGTGTTCTCCAGAGGCCAGAAGAGGGTGTCTGATTACCTGGAACTGGAGTTACATACAGATAGTTGTGAGCCGCCATGTAGGTGCTGAGAATTGAAGCTGGGTCCTCTAGAAGAACAGCCAGTACTTTTGAGCCCTCTCCAGCCCCAAGAACAAGCGCTTACTGAACCTGGAGTTCACCATTTTGGCTAGGCTGCCTGGCCAGAGAGCTATTGAGATCTGTCTTTGGGGACTGTGGGAATAAGTGTTCTTCAGGCGTATTTGCTAAGGTAACGTAAGTGTTCTTGAGACATATTTGCTAAGACAAAATAGAAGTTCCTGGATTTAAAAAGGTTTCCTACTTGTCAGAACTCTTTTTGTCCTCCCTTAATCTGACCTATGAAGAGAAACCTAGGCACACATCTTCAACTAGCAAGACTACTTTTTTTTTTAAACTAATTTATTTATTTGCATTTTATGTACATTGGTATTTTGCCTGCATACATGTCTGTGTGAGGGTGTCGCCCCTGGAACAGGAATTATAGACAAGTGTGAGCTGCCATGTGGGTGCTGGTAATTGAACCAGGATCCACTGGAAGAGCAGCCAGTGCTCTTAACCACTGAGCCATCTCTCCAGTCCCTGAAAGACTACTCTTAGTTTATGCCAGACTTGGTTTAAGTATCATAGAAAACAGCATTCCCTGAAAAGCAGGTTAACTGGAACAGTCCACATTATTCAGCTTTCTGTGACTCGTCTTCCTGTCTTCGCCCACCTCACACTGACCGTACCCAGTCTTTGTGTAGGCTAGCGGGGCAAGTGCTCTACCATCAAGCTATGCCCCCACCTCGGGTCTCCCCTCAAGGATTCCTGTTGCTATCGTTCACATTTTAGCACACTTGAGATCAGAAAGATGTCAGTCGGAAAGCAAAGTTGTTCATGGCTCTGCTCGTCCATATTAAAGTGTGGCTTCAGGTTGACAAGGGCCAAGGAAGATGTGAGCACAGCCAAGGGTGGTGAATGCAACAATGGAAATACTAAAATTTGGAAGTGACATTGTTTTTTTTTTGGTTTTGGTTTTTCAAGACAGGGTTCTTTGTGTAGCCCTGGCTGTTCCAGAACTTGCTCTGTAGACAAGGCTGGCCTCAAACTCACAGAGACTCCATGGGATTAAAGGTGTTCACCACCGCTACCCCTCAACCCTAATGTCTGTACATGTTAAATCTAGCCTTAAACAGAAAACTTGAGTAATGTGTGTTTCCTTCATGTGTAATCAAAGCAAAGGGCAGGGAAAGGATCCAAGCTGAAGATAAACTACACACTTGCAAAACAAATTCTATACCACAGCCATGTCTTACCTTTTCAGGTCAACAGTTGTGACACTAAACACAACTCCTTTGAGCCAAAGAATCATGAAGAGCCTCTGTGAAAAGGGGCAGTTTCCTATGCTCTCGCCATCACTGCCAGCCTGGAAACAAACATTTAAAAACAAGGTCAAAATGAGGACACTCATGCAGCAGCGCTTCCTATGAATTCCCATCAGAAATATTTATTCGGGGTGGTAAGGAGGTTGGAGACGCAGGCCCTAATTATTTTGGTGTTTCATTTGCCTCAGTTTCTTCTTAGAAATGAGCAGTCCCGTAGAATACTGTCCCAGATGACTCTGTGCTGAAAAGGAGACTTTACTACCACTTTCCAGTGTGGCTAATGACGTCTTAAAATAAGGATGGTCCCAATGTAATGAAGATTTCATTTTGCTTATCTTTAAAAGTCACATTTGTTCTGAGTTTGAGGCCAGTCTGGTCTACAGAGGAGTTCCAAGATAGCCAGGGCTACACAGAGAAACCCTGTCCTGAAAGGGACGAAAAGGTTGTGTTTGGCTAATAGCTGTATTATGATTTGACTGAGATGTCCCCCAAATCTTTTTGCATTTGAATACTCGGTTTCCATTTTATGGCACTGTTTGGATATGATTCAGAGGCAACTAAAACCAGGAGATTTATAGATGTCTGTCTCCAAAGAGTTAAGTAACTACCAATCATCTCAATAAAAAAGAATCCATTATAAATATCCTAAATCCATGTTATTCATGGAGCAAGAAAATATTCAGACACTTTTATAAGCTTTTTCTAATCTTGCCCCATGAATGAACCTTCCCTGAGTGCAATGATGAATGATGAATGAGGCAGAATTTCCCGAAGTCCAAGACAGGTATGCCCCAAGATTAAAAGGGAGACAGGGGTGGAGGGTAGTATGATAGCACAACCTATAATCCCAGCACTTGAGAGGTAGAGGCACAAAGATCAGGAGTTCAAAGTTATCCTCTACTACCTATCAAGCTGGAGGTTAGCCTGAGCTAGAGGACTCAGGATAGAAACATTGATCACTTCCGATAGTCCTTCAGTGTGGCCAAGAGCACTATATTTTCATCCCAGTTCATTCCAACGACGAGTCCTTTTGGGGTTTGGACTTACCAAAGCAAAAAAGATGCCAGAAATATGAAAGTCCATCTGCTTGTTTACACACACAGCAAATACACCATATGAACCATGAGCAGAAGGCAATTTGCATTACACTTCCTACGCAACATACCAGAATTCTTGAATTTCTTTTGGGGTAAAAAAATCATATGAGGACAGGTGGTGTCGGTGCATGCCTTTAATCCCAGTGCTCAGGAGGTAGAAGGAGGAGGACATCTGGGTTGGAGACCAGTCTGGTCTACAGATAGAGTTCAAGGCAGCCAGGACTATGCAAATAAACCCTGGCTCAGAAAAAGAAAAAAAAAGGGAGGAGAGGAGAGAGAGGAAGCTGGGATTGACATGTGAAATAAGCTTGTTTCTAACTTAAATGAAAAAACAAACAAACAAATAAAAAGAAAAAATGGGACCTCAATTATCTTCCTCTGATCTTTTGCTTTTTGGCTAAAATAAGCAATTTGTTCTGCCATATCCCACCAGCCATTACCATCCAGCTTCCATACCAGAGACCCAAAGCTGTAAACTTCTACACCATAAAGCAAAGCAAAACTTTTCTCTTCAGTAGTTAGTTATCGTGGGTATTGTATTATAGTAACAGAGAGCTGACTACTTACTGTAAGCATCCAGGCACTTGGCCCCACCCCTTGGGGAACATGGCAGAGTGCCTCACCCCTGTGCACATGACCCCTTTTAAAGGCAGAACTCTCCCGGGAGGTGGTAACTCACACCTTTAATCCCAGCACTTGGGAGGCAGTGGCTGGCAGATCTCTGTGAGTTCGAGGCCAGCTTGATCTACTAGTAAGTTCTACAACAGCCAGAGCTACATATAATCTCAAAACAGTAACAACAAAGAACTATTGGCTGTAGGGAGAGTACCTGTGGCACTGACCACGCCATGGGGCGGATGGGGCGTAGGAAATAAAGGGCTGAGGAGAGGGGCACTCGTGCTCTCTTGGGGTTCTGGTTGGGTCTTGGAGAGCAGCAGAGCACTGATCTTGGGTTCTCGGTTTCTCATGTAAGTGATTTCTCCCTAATAAAATAACATACAACATCCCTATCCTGTGTATGGCAATCTTCCTCTTATAATCTGCCAGGCCAGCTTTTGACATCATATGTCTGTGCTCCCAACACTTAGGAGACTGAGACAGGAGGCGTATGGGAGGTGGGTTGGGCCTCAGCACTCCTTGAGTTTTGTTTGCTGGAAAGGATGCTTCTGTTTACCATGTGCCTGCTGCTGCTCTTGCTCACTAGCCCGAGCCACCCCCACAGCCCCTCCCCCCCCCTGCCTGTTGCAATTCTGCAATTGCACAATACCAGCATTTAACGAGAAACTGCTGGATTAGCTCCCACATTGCAGAATAGGGGTCAGGAGCAGATGCCATCAACATTTTAATGTTTTACTAAGTCAAGGTTAAGGAACTGCTCACTTAGAAAACCTAGTTTAATCAGTCTTTACACTAGTTAGATTTAAAAATAACTAAAGGGGGGCTTTGATAACTCTGCTTCCCAGGACTAGGGGGTGAGAGATGATTGGGGGGGAAGCTGAAGACAGAATGGTTTCCTTCCCATTAAATTCTTTCCCTCCACACATTTTTCTATACAGAGCAATGTGTTACCAAAGGGAGTGACTTAAGTTTTTTACTACTCCATTTACCTTTTGTTAGATGCTACTGGTATAAACGAGATGCCTTGTGGGTGTGGAGGTGTACACCTGCAGTCCCAGAATGCAGGAAGCTGAGGCAAGAGGAATGAGTTTCTGACTAATAAAGACTACTCAGTGAGTCTGAGATCAACATTTCTGGCTCTATAGGTTCAAGACCCCATCTCAAAAACCAAAACCAAAGTGAACAGGAGGGAGGAGGGGGAGAGGGGAGGAAGGGAGGGAGGCAGGGAAGCAGGGAGGGAAGGAAGGAGCTACCCAAACAAACACTCTCATGTCTTCCTGTGCTTTAGATTTATTAACAAGACACAAAGCAGCAAGGTATGAATGTCCTCTAACATCTATCATCTATCTTCAAGTTCTGGTCAGAGTGCTGAAACCACTGTGTGGGCTCTCAAGGTCTCAATCTTTCCACTGGGTCTGCAGGGTACACAGGAGTACCAAAGTTCAGACTTAGACACATCTGGAATTGAATACTGATTTCATTAGCTGTGCAATCTTTGGTAAGCTAACGCCTGTGAAAGCTGAGTCAATATACATGTAAGGGATTGGCTAGGTCAGGATACCCATAGTGCCCAGCATGTGGTAAGAGTTTAGTAAATATTTGAGTTTAAAAATGCTTCGGTGGCTCACGACTGGTAGGCAGACAGGGATAGACCAGGGAGGAGCCAAGGTAATAAAGGTAGCAAATTTCCAAGATGGCCAGCTTCTTCCTCAACTCCTGTTGAATAGCAGGCCCTGTGCTGATAAACTGGCTTAACAATTCTGTCTGCAGGGCTTCAGATTTCTCTGCAGCTACCTGTTGCACTTCTGATTTTTCCTGCCTTTAATTCTTTAATTTGCAGAGAAAACAAATCCAATCAAGAACTTTAGACTACATCATTTCAAGACTATTTCACTAGCATTGGAAAAAGTAAAAATAAAAGGAACACAATCTTAACAAGACCTTCAGTTGAAGCACCCAGTCACTAGAATTCCCAGAATCCCTTGTCTTTCAGAAAAGGGGAAAGACTCTAAGAACCTTTTTAATTTTTCCCCACAAATTTTTATGTGTTGCACATATGTACTAGCTTGTCTATGTACACAATGTGCATGTAGGCACCTGTGGAACTATGTTTTAAGACACACACATGTATGTATGTATGTATGTATGTATGTATGGCCAATGAGATGGCTTAGCAGATAAAGGCTCTTGCAGCACAATCTTGGTGACATGAGTTCAATCTCCAGTGTACATGTAAAGGTAAATGGAGAAAAATCTACTCCAAAGTTGTCTTCTGACATACAGTACAAACACAAACACACACACACACACACAGAGCCTGTGCCCACAGGCATGCAATAAATTAATAACAATTCCATATGACAAAACTGAGTACAGTCTTAGATCGAAGCAAAAATAATCTCTATTTAGGATGTCAAAAATCTCAGGCCATGACCAGCCTGTACCACATCATAGTACTATAATTTGATAAATAAAGTCAAATGATATGGCATGCAGGAATCACTGTTTCCAAGCTCTGTATAAAACAGTCAAGGACAAGATTGCAGACTTGGTCCAGGACAGTCAGAATTGTAAAATAGGGATGCTGTCTCAAAAGTACAAAGACAGCTGACTTCAGGTGTTCCCATTCCCTTGCTCAGGCAGCATCAGCATGGCTAGTTACTGAAGCCCATGCCACTGAAAGAGGGGCTGACCAATCCCTTGAATCATACACAACCAAGCAGGGCTAGATGCAACTCCAGGCCAGCACACAGCATTTACCCCTGAAGATGGACTCTGCTCTTGCAAAGCAAGCTCTTCAAATTAACCCAGTTAACACTTAGATCTGCTCACTCAGCAGAGGGTGGCAGCTAGCACTCACCTAGCAGACTCTCAGAAAACCCCACCCACTCCCTCTAGTCAAGTGATCTGCCCTTGCTAAACTGTTAGCCTCTTTTACAAAAAAGGACTGAACAGATCTATCTTACTGGATTGTTATAGGATCAACAGTCACTACATACAAAGGGTTAGAAATAACACAAGGCTCCAAAAAAAGGGGCAGAACTGAGGCTGCTGTTCATTGTATGCCCTTTCTTACTTTCCAGCATGTATAATTCTCCTGTAACAAACAGAATGAATATGGAAAAGCTCTGGAGATGAGGGAATCTTTGAGAAGTCCACAGAAGCAGGAGTCTCAAACACTCAGAAACAAAGTTTTCAATTAAATTCATTTAAATGCAAATTACCAGAAGCCTTCTGGTGTGATTCAGGTCACCTGCAGTGGGGGTCTGACATTGCAGTTTTTACACAACACTTCTTCTAGTAATTCAAAGTCTGATGCATTTGGT